TGACAGAAGTTATAATATATATATATATATATATATATATATATATATATATATATATATTATTCTTAATGGGTTAACGGATAATCCGTTAAGAAAATTGAATAATCCGCCCCCAAACTGATAAGTCGTTAATAAAAAAATTTCAATATGTTCCCCATCCGTTAAACCATTAACCCAATACTAATAAGCCATTAAGCTTCAGTTTCGGTTTGGTTTTCGGTTTCGGTTCGGTTTTGAACACCCCTAACATCAGGGGTTTCTATTCACAAGAGTATGTTAAGCTTTGAGGCAAAGGAGTGGCAGACCTTTGTATGCAACTGACTAGACCCGAAACAGAATGAGACATATCTTTCTATCCCGCGGGCAGTTCTAGTGGCTTTCATCATGGCCGGGTACCCCCATCAATGTGGGAGCCGTGATGTCGGCCAATATCTCTGTGGTCGCTCGGCAAACTGACATATCCTACCCGTATTCTAACACCATTACAGAGTATCACACGGATGCGAGGGTAGAGCCGGGGGACTTTGATATAAAGATGCAGGCAAAGAAGTCGTTCTCATGGTACTCAATGATGGATGCACACAATCCTAAGAGAAAGGGTCAACCATCTACCGCCACAGGCCAGTTTGATGAGCCATTAGTGGTAGTTGCAGAGGCAGTTGATATTCTATCCACTTCGGTCGGGCCTTCATCGAGTGCCACAGATATGCCTCAACCACTATCCTCAGTTCCTACATCGTCCCTGTCACAGGTTCTACCTCGGCTTTGAATCCGGTGCCCATGCCTAATGCTCCACTCTCTACGCTGCGAGTCTCCTAGACATTGGCGAGCCTCAACAACCGGATGCAGACAACCACTGTAAAGTTGTCTGACTTATCCAGTACTGTTGCAGCACAGTCCTCTATATCGGTACCTCAGATGCCCCTATTAGTGGAAAGCATTCTAAAGAAGCTCCTGGAAAACCAGAACACTATCATGGCTATATTGGTACAGTAAGGGTCAGTGATCGAAGAGCTGGGAAACAAGTTAAGAAAATGAGAAAGTCCTAGGCCTCCAAGAAGTCAGTGGACAAGATCCGGAGACAGGTTACCAAGTTTGCTGCAGCTGGAGATATTCCATTTGATATGATGATTGACCCACACCATCCAAGCCCAGATCCTACAGCACCTACAATACCAACTAGCCAGGCCTTGCTGCTGATACTATCGAGGCAGTGCGTCAGATGTTCCCCAACCCAGTCACTCCTAGAGTTGAGAATGATGAGATCCAGCTGGATGAGACTGAGATCGGTGACGTTGCTGTGGACATAGAGATGGCCAAGGAGCCATAGGGAGATTTCTTCAATCTTACCCTTCCTTTACTCTTATGTTGTTAAGCATTGGGGACAATGCTTATTTTTATTCGGGGGTTAAGTTTATTTGATTATATTTGATGATTCTGAGATAATTGATTTGTAATAACTTAACAATATTTTCTCATATTTCCTTATTCTGTATATATTCTCTCTTCTCCTCTCATTGTGTATATATCTTCTCATTCTCCCTCATTATGTTTATTCATTATTCTTTCGATAGTTTTTGCTTTGTAGCTTCTTTATGTTTCTTTTCTTATTAGTTAGTGTTTAAGTGAGTAGCTTCTAGCTTCTTTTTGAATTAGTAGCTCCTTCTTGATTTAGTAGCTTCTTTTTAAGTTTTTGTAGACAATAAGCCTTTGATTTTCTTAATGCCACGGTTCTTTCTAAAGGTAGTTTTGTGTGAACCGGGTAACTCTTCCCAACGATGGATGGCGTGACAACTTTATGAAGGGACTGAGTCAGTTTTTACCGTGGGGATAAGGATAATAGTGAAAATTTGATACAAATTTCCATAACACACTCTATTTTATACTTGTTCTTTAAGCTTTTAATTTCATGTCAGATTAAAAATGTCGAACTCCCAATCTGCCCATTTGAACATGGATGCTGAGTCCGGCCACCATGGTGAAACCAACAACGTGGTACCCAGCAATGAGGTGCCCCACTAACCCCAATGGAGTCCCAGTCGCTGATCTGATCGATGCTAACTCACATGTGGATATCGAAGCAAACTTGCCTACATATCGCGAAAACAACATTCATGGGTGAGCCCGGTCGATAGCCCGGAGTACACACGACGGAGAAGGTGACGTGATCAACTTGCACGTGATCTTCGAAATGTTACAGGCTCAACATGCAACGATAACCTAATTGCATAACCAAAGCTGAACCCCCAGTAGAGTTGAGCCCGAATCGTCCCGGGAAAATGCCCGCATAAATAAACCAGCCGCAGAAAGACCGGGTGAAGCAGAGCCTAGGACCAACCCCGAGATAATAAAGATGCTTGAGAAAATGACAAAACGGGTGGAATCGAGAGAAAAGAAAATCGAAGTCAACGACAAAAAAATGGAGATCTATTACTCTAGGGTCGACCAAATCCCGGAAGCACCACCGATACTGAAGGGCCTGGATTCCAAAAAATTTGTCCAAAAGCCTTTTCCTCCGAGCGCAGCTCCGAAGCCGATCCCAAAGAAGTTCCGTATGCTCGAAATTCCGAAGATTAATGGAATAACCTATCCCAACGAACATGTGACCTCTTATACGTGCGCCTTCAAAGGAAAAGACTTGGAAGATGATGAAATCGAATATGTTCTGTTGAAAACGTTCGGAGAGACCTTGTCAAAAGAGTTATGATATGGTATCACAACTTACCCCTAATTCTATTAACTCGTTTGTTAAGCTTGTAGATGCCTTTGTAAAAGATCACGCCGGGGCCATCAAGGTCGAGACTAGGAAATCAGACCTTTTCAAGGTAAAGTAAAGAGATAACAAGATGCTCAGGGAATTCGTATCGAGGTTTCAAATGGAACGGATGGACCTGCCTCCGGTCGCAGATGATTGGGCCGTTCAGGCCTTCACCCGAGGACTCAATCCCCGAAGCTCATTGTCTTCACAGCAGTTGAGGCAAAATTTGATAGAAAACCCGATAGTAACTTGGGCCGACGTCCATAACCTGTACCAATCAAAAATCAGGGTCGAAGATGATCAACTCGGGGCCCTTTATGGGTCCGTTAATCCCTTTAGAGCTGGCGACAGATCCAAAAGAGACATTGATCGTGAACCAAAATCGAATAGAGGCCGGTATCAACCATACAATGGAGATCGAAGGGGTAATGGGTCCGGACGTAACACTGTGAGAAGTGAAATAAAGAGCGACTGAGGTCACAATAATCGGGGACTCATCAAAAAAAGCGATTTTGACATACCCATCGGGTCTAAGGAAGCAGCAAGGTTATCGAAGTGCAACTTCAATGTCGACGCTGCCGCCATCATATCAGCCATCGGATGCATCAAAGATACTAAGTGGCCTCGACCATTGCAATCTGATCCTGCACTAAGGGACCCCAACCAAATGTGTAAATATCATAGCACTCATGGCTACAGAACCGAAGACTACCGACAACTGAGAGAGGAAGTAGCCCAGTTATTCAACAACTGACACATTTGAGAGATTCTGAGTGATCGATCCAAAAATCACTTTAGGAATAGGGACTCCAACAAGCATATCGAGCAAGAGGAACCTCAGCACGTCATTAACATGATCATTGATGGGGTTGATGTCCCCCAGGGGCCAACGTTAAAGCGCACTAAAGTGTCCATTACAAGAGAAAAACTGACTCAAGATTATGTACCGCAGGGAATCGTATCTTTCAACGATGAGGATGTTGAAGGAATCGTGCGACCACACAATGATAAACTGGTAATATCTATACTCATAAACAAATCTCGAGTTAAGCCTGTGTTAATTGACCAA